GGTTGCCTGAACGGGCCAGGCTGAACGGTAAATTACACATTATTCGCGTGGGAAATAAACGAAATTGTGTATTCGAATAGAAAAATTCCAGGTGAAAGACAATGAACAAATTATTCCTGTAATACTTGCTCTAACAAACCTGCAATGTATATTAGTGTTTATTTTGAACGTTATTACACTTTAGAAAAATATAAGCTATACAATTTTAGTTTGATAAAATATATACTATAAAGTTTTATTTTAAATATCATTTAAATAGAATAATTATTTTCAATGCTATACCATTTTTTTATTTGATATGATATGTTTCTCTTTATTTTGTGAATAAATATATTCGAATTGTCGATAGATAATCTGAGAAATCTCTCTAAGTGCAAAGGGTTAAATACACTTCAAATAATAAATCTAACTTCGACGTAGCTGATTATCAAGCTTCTATTAAATCTATAAATAAATTGACGGTAGAGAATGGAATGGAGAGAGAATGGAAAGGAGAATGGAGAGAGGAAAGAGAATGGAAACAAGATAAGTCAGAAATAAAGAATCGTTATATCACGGTTAATAATATGAATATTTATGTTCGATAGTTATAGTTATAGGAGCAACATTATATTATAGAGGACCGAAGAATATTTAAACATTCTAGCAACATGGGGCAATATGGATATCTTTCGGTAAAGCTTTCGAAAAGAAACAACTTTCCTTAAAAAAAAATGTTATATCACTCGGAAATGAAAAAATAGTTACAGATGTTCAAAGCGTCATCTGTCATCTTGACGAAGACATCTTTCCATTCTTTGTTTCAAAATTGTGTTTATGTTTGGCTTATGTGTGTATGTTGGTGTTTATGTTGTGTTTATTTATAATCCATATCACAAATTTGACTTATTATGTCGTGTATTTATTATGGTTGACTCGAATGACGATAAGAAACAGCGAATTGAAGAAAATTGCCACTCTCTACATTTTGCAAAAGTCCTGAGAGCCGACTCTCTCACAGCGTGAGAGAAAGGATGGAAAGATGTTTTCGTCAAGGCGGCAGACACTTTGAACATCTATAATTATCTTTTCATTTCCAAATAATATTAAATTCCTTTCCAAGGAAAAGTTACTTTTTTTAGAAGCTCTATCCAACGATATCCATATTGTCCCATGTTGCTATTTAGAATTTCTAACTAGCGGTTTCAGTTTGGCTTCCGATATTTCCGAGACTTTCCTAAAAGTGAATATCATCATCGAAACTTCAGATAAGCTTTTATGGTAAACATTCCCAATTTTTCCTATGTCATGCCCTAAGCAGGACATTGACGAATTACTTATAATTAATAGGCATTAATTATATTGGCGAAGGTGCTATGCGAAGCACTTCCGCCACACCTGCACCGCACGTGTTGCAAGGTAAGCATCACGCTACACAGGACAAAGTCGAAAAATGTCCAAAAATAGGCAGCAGGCAAATAATGCACTGTCTGCATGGAGAAAGGTCGGAAGCAGCGCGATGCTTCCGCCAGATTTGCAAAATTCCTTCAGCGATGAGTCTATAAATCAACTTCTGTCACCGAAGGGAGTAGAGCCAGACCACCGACCGAACCAGACGTTTCTATCTCTAACAAGTAACACTACTCAACTGATACTCACCGATTTGAATGAAACTTAACATACTTATTAAACACCGAAAAATATTAAATATGTGTTTTTTTGTTTCGGCTAAATACGCTTTAGGGGTAGAAAGCATCCCTCAACCCCTGGAGGTGGAAACAGTTATGGTTAATTATTTCTGAAACGATACATTTTCTGAAAAAAGTGCTTAGGACCAGAGTTGTAGAGTTCAAAGTGATGCACTTGATGGCGACTTTGAAGTCGACCTTGAGGTCGATTTTCAAGGTCATTTGAAAATCATTTCATGTTTTTCAAAGGGAGAAGTTTACTTTTCATCTCGAGAATCGATAGAAGGTAAAATTTTACATTCAGAACGTTGGTGGTTTGTAAACAAAACAAGCCTCTGCAATTTAAAATTGTTCATTGATCCAACCAATTAAGGCAAGATCAGTCAATAATTCGATCAATAAAGGAATTGAAAGTTAATTATTCATTCAAATAAGGCAAGATGTGATCGAGATCCAGCCAGTGAAGGCAAGATATGGTCGAGATCCAGCCAGTGAAGGCAAGATATGGTCGAGATCCAGCCAGTGAAGGCAAGATATGGTCGAGATCCAGTCAGTGAAGGCAAGATGTGAGCGAAATCCAGCCAGTAAAGGCAAGATATGGTCGAGATCCAGCCAGTGAAGGCAAGAAGTGATAAGTGATCAAGAAGTAATTTTGGAAAATGCTTGCTCAACGACAGTCGGGAAAATAATAATTGATCATGTCCGAATGAAATCCTAATACAAAATAAAGAGTAAAAGGTAAGAGTAAAAGATTAAAATTTCTAATATAGCATGAAGGTAATGTTTAACTTACAATTAGAGTGACATTTTATGTTTTCTTATCTTTACTTCTATTCTGAAGTTACTTACAAAACTTTTTTCTCCTTCTTATTTTTTCCATAAATTTGCGCCTATTTTCCCATTACGTCAGGTTTTTTTTCTTTTTTTAGGAAAATAACGCAACAAATCAATTCTGAAGACAGATTTAGTCAACGCATAAAATTACTGATTATAGATACAGGATGTGGTCAATGTCCGGCAACGGCTAATTATTTCCAAATTTAATTGACCTTGAAAATCGACCTCAAGGTCGATTTCAAGGTCGCCATCAAGTGCATCACTTTGAACTTTACAACTTTGGTCCTAAGCACTTTTTTCAGAAAATATATCGTTTCAGAAATAATTAGCCATAACTGTTTCCACCTCCAAGGGTTGAGGGGTGCTTTCTACCCCTAAAAAGCGCATTTAGTCGAAACAAAAAAACACGTATTTAATATTTTTCGGTGCTTAATAAATATGTTAAGTTTCATTCAAATCGGTGAGTATCAGTTGGGTAGTGTTACTTGTAAGACTACATTACACGCGCTAGCAAAGGGTTAAGTCAGTAAGACTCCTTTCCAAAATAAAACTAAGTTTTATTGAACACCTCCTTCATCACTACCTCGTACGGATCCCGCAACACCTAATGTCCTAATACTATCCTTTTTCTAAATAAAAGGAATAGACGGATGTGTGTCTGAAAGATCCTGTAGAATATAATGCTGCTCTTAACCGCAAATATCTAACGTAAGTATTCACACATCATCAATCATGAGGCCCGATATGACAATTCGCCGTCGTCTTTCTTTCCGTCTTATCTCTTATTATTTCCATTCCCTTTAATGCCAGTTTATTTATAGGTTTAATAAAAACTTAAGAATGAGCTACGTCAAAGTCAAATTTTTTTATTCGAAATGTGTTTCAAGTGCAGAAAAATATGTGATTACCCACGTTTGTGAAAAGCAAATCGTGTATAAACATGTGGGGAAGAGTATGTATCATAAGCAATTGTATAAGATCTCATATAACAATAATATAACAGCTGATAAGCAATAGTATAAGAACGTAAGTAGTTCTGTACATCCCATTGATTCACAAAGTGACTGCAAGCTTGTATGTATATATCTTCATATTTAAAATTTCTTTCAATATTAATATTTCTCTCATATCCCTTTATTTATTTGCTTACTGTTTAACCACTATTTTCGTTATAGTAGTATAAAGAAACATTTCTTGGCCTTTTGCATCATCTTTGTGGAAAAGTCGTGTAATAAATATATAGATCAAAAGATTTTGCTTGTATATCATTGTTATTCATTTGTTAACATTGTTATTCTGTTGAATAGGTGTTATCTGTTGAGAAGCACATATTTCATAAAATTAATACCTTACAAAGAAAGTTATTTTGTAGTTTGAAAAAATTCTCTTTCTCTCGCTCGCTTAATCAAATATTTTATTTTCAAATGTTACATTATAATCGTACTTACTAATTTAAAAGTTTTTTCGCTATTACGATCGCATCAATCTTTGCTATTTGGGAATTACATTAACCCGTTCATGCCAGACAACATCGCGGTCAACATTTGGCTGTGCAAGCATATGCAATATTTCTCTTCTACGCAAATGTATGTATTTGCGTAAAGATGTATGTATTTGCGTAAAAGAGAAACATGTGTCGGCTTCGCAGATTCTTTTCGCCTCACTTGATACGATACACACGGTTATTAAAGGAAATTATAAAAATGGTGTACGGAGTGTTATCACCATCGATAAACTCATCGTATCGACATCAATCTCTGACGGTGAGTTGTGTTGTCTTTGCTTATCTCTTATATCTGACTCGTATAATAGGTAAACTATTTATTCTTATAACTTAAAAACTAAATCTCGGATAACATTTTGCAAGGAAAAGAATCGTTTTAGAATTCGTTCAGGGTCATATCATTTTAAGGACAGTAAGTTATTCCAGGTCAACACACACATATTTCATAAAGTTTATTTAAATAAAATTATTTAAAAACTTTTCTTCCATGCAGCTTGGAACGTAATCCGTGGTTCAATAAAATAAATTATCTTTTATGAATTCCGAGAGATAAAAGTTTTCTTATTAAACCATTGACTATATTCCAAACTGTATGAAAAGTCAATGCTCAAGTTGTATTAAAAATTAAATATATACATATTTAAAACATGTTCTTTGCGTCTGTTTAAAACATTAAAATATAAAACGATTGTTTTAAATAAAAGAACGTGATGTTGTATTTTTTTATTTCAAATATACTTCTTATCAACCTTGTTGGTTACATCGAGATTAGCTTTGCTACGGGAAGTAACATACGATCGACTTTCCTACATAAATTTCTCTAATTTCAGCTCTTATTAACAATTTCGAGTCGCATGTCGGAATGATAGAAATCCGTTTCTCGTTTAATTATGACGGCTTTGAGCACGCCGTTCATTTATTCTCCATCTCGTCTATTAATACTTGATATTGTTTTATGAACAAGTTAATATCAACGTTACTTTTTCCTGCAGAAGTCCACGGAGGAATTGACAAAGGGCAGCACGGTGACACTGGCAGAAGAGATCATAGAGAACACTGGCGACAAAGCAACGACTCAAACCGTACCCGAAACAATCATGGGAGTTTGCAAGAAGCTCACGCACTGGACGGCCCTGCTGGATCTGATCCTGATAGCATCGAGTAAGTCTCGCACGTCTTCCTCGCGTACGAATCTCTCGAGGTGCATTCTGATGCGATGCAATAACGGTAGGAGAAGATATCGTGTTTTCCGTGCCGTTTAATCTTTTTTTTTCTTTATCAATCGCTCGCTACCTCTTTAAGATTTTGCAATTGTCTGCAGTTGACCCTGACCCGGTAGTTGATCCAGATCTATTGTTTATTTTCGTCCGCTGTTTTGTCCTTTATTTAGCGAACTTTATCTTCATCTTATCAATACGTTCTCTTATCGCAAATTAATAAATTTTCTCATACGCGCGACGATATTTCGTTAAAAATAAAATTCACATCACTGACACTACACACATGCGTGCTTCAAGGTTTCCAGAAATGATGTATTTATCGCCTAATTCCCGTGCAAATTGAATCATAAAGTTTCATTTATTGCACTCCCGTTGCGAACACAATTTCTCATCGCAGTCGAGAGTTCCCCGGAACAAGTTTGAAGATTATACACATATGTTTAATGCTGAAGACAAACTCTCTTTTATGACCATGAAAAGTGTCGCTTTTTAAGTGGATTTCGTGGTTGCTTGCGCCTTGTTGAGTGCTTCCATCGTGAAAGTCATGTATAATCAACGCAATATGCCAGTCATGTCTATGTTGGTAACGCGCATGATTAAATGACGCTCGACGTCCCGAACCTCGTATTTGTAGTTTATTGCCTTTATTAGCCGTATAAATACTCGGGTGAACACGGGTGAATGCGCGTATCTTTACGCCAGACAGGAGGAAGTGTCAGCTTGTTAACTGGCGCGACGGTTATTACGTTAGTAGGCAAATCGCGAACAGTCGGAAGTGCATGCCATGCATTCTTCCTCAACAGCTAGAAGCGCGAAACTTTGCGATAACTGCTACGCTATTATGGCTAATGTAAACGCGCGAAGGCTCGCACCCTGGGAATCGTCACCGTCGTCACCTTCGTCACCGATTCGCCGTCGACGGTCATTGCCGAAAAACTGTGTCCTCTCTATCCTTTCACGAATCGGTCGTGTTTGTCGTTTTTATAAGCATAATATGCACATATGTGTGATAAATGCACTATAAGCTCGTCATTATTTAAGTATCGATAATATCGATAACAATATATACAGAGTGTCCCGTTTTAAATGAGCCAGGCAAAAATCTTGAAAAATATGAAGGTTATAAGGATATAAAGAACAAAAGTTGTATGGTTTCAAAGGTGACATAAAAAAGCTATATCATTTTGTTTACAGATGATGCCATTTTCGAGATATTCACTGATCATTACTTTTTTTAAGCGGAAATCCCAATTTTTTATTATATCAACTTTTTTTACCAGTTAATTTGAACAGCTTTTGTCTGAAACATTCTTTTAGTTGTCTAATATTTTTTGAGATATTTAGGGAAAACTTGGTAACTTTCTCAACGTTTAATTTACGATGTCTCACTAAGTATTTGTCGAAAGAGAAAACAATATCATACTTTTTTACTCTGTTTAATCTCAAGAATATATTGTTAGAAGTGTTCTAATTTTTTTGTTAACTTATCGACCTTTGGAAATTTCAAAATCATCAAAATTAACAAAAGTCAAGGCGCTATTGTAACGATATATTCTCGAGACCAAATAGAGTCAAAAAGTCTAGCACCACTTTTGTGAATATCACAGTGAATATCACGCGAAATCTATACGATACCATCTATAGACAAAATGACATAGTTGTTTTATATCCCCATTGAAACCATAGAACTTTTGATAAATATTTAGAAGTACACAGTTAGCTCCGATTTTAATGAGACTAGGCTCATTCGATGCGTTTTTGCACGAGAAACAACTTTTTCCTGTGGCAAAATCGTCGCTCAGTTCCGCGAAGCGAGATATGAAGCGTTAAAGCAGATCATAATTCAGGTTAGGAAAGCTGTTATATCGATGAATTTTGGCGACATAAACATGCCTCGTAACTAACATAAACTTCTCGAGTAATATGCAAAAAGTTTTAGTCCGTGCTCACTGTTCGTTAAAAAGTTATAAACAAATGAAGTTAGTGATAAGAGTTTGCATCGAACATATATACACACACACACACACACCGAAGGGGGCGTGCGGGAGGCTTTCGGCCCCCCCACCCGCACCCCCCCTCGAGGGTTAACGGGTGAAACTCGCTTCATATGGAAAGTCGCAAACTCACATGTGTGTGTGTGTGTATATACATGCTCGGTGCAAACTCTTATCACTAACTTCATTTGTTAATAACTTTTTAACGAACAGTGAGCACGGACTAAAATTTTTTGCATATTATTCAGGAAGTTTATGTTAGTTACGAGGCATGTTTATGTCGCCAAAGTTCGTCGATATAACAGCTTTCCTAATCTGAATTATGATTTGCTTTAACGCTTCATATCTTGCTTCGCGGAACTGAGCGACGATTTTGCCACAGGAAAAAGTTGTTTCTCGTGCAAAAACGAGTCGAATGAGCCTAGTCTCATTAAAATCGGAGCTGACTGTATACTTCTAAATATTTACCCAACTTTTGTCTGAAACGTTTCTTATCTTTCATATTTTTCGAGATTTTTGCCTGGCTCATTTAAAATGAGACACCCTGTATAATGCGCAATCTTAGCTTGCTTAAAGAAGGTGGAACTTTCACGCTTCTCCCCAAACTGCTGTTCAAACTAAAGAAGAACTTCTTTTTTCCTCTCTCTCGTCGCTTATACGTACAGCATGAGTGCGGTCTTTTGCATGGAAGCGCATTCGCCAGGGATGAAACCACGCGTGTAATGAAGCTCGACAGGCAAACCGCGAACTGTGTAATGTAATATTACGGACGTCTGTTTGTCTAGAATTTTTACGGGCGTGTCTCTCGCTGGAAATACCTCTGTGCAATTGTCGCGTAATGATCGCAACGAGTCGCGACGATCGTTTCGAGTAGATGCACGACTGAAGTATAGTGCTGAACTCTCGAATATCATTCGACGTGTAGAATTTTGCGATAATATGAATCCTAGCGCCGTGTTCGCTGATAATGTTACTCAATATTTGTAATTTCGATGTCTCGTTTCGATCTCGATCGACTCGGTCATTAAAGTCCCATCTGATAGTCATTAAGTGCTTGTATTTATTCGTAATTAATGTCTAGATAAACAGGTACTTGTTGGCCACTTAAAACGGAACTGAAGCTAGATGATTTTAACAAATCCAACAAAGATCCGAACATATTTATTCCTCGATAATGAAAAGTGACCGGATCGAGAGAGATGAAGTTTGCTTCACCTCTCATCTTTTTTACGATATTTTACATTAGCGTCCACAGATATACATATTTGCGTAACTCGCGCACAAATTCTCGCGTTGTGGTGGGGCGGAAGAGGGGGAAAGAGAGAGAAGGAGAAAGGGAGAGAGAGAGAGAGAGAGAGAGAGAGAGAGAAAAAGAGAGAGAGAGAGAGAGAGAGGAAAAAACGTGTGTATATCAAACGGGACTTTAACCTTTTAACTGATCACGAAGCGGTCGTGTATGTCACTAGAGTATTCTCCCCCGCAACGTTTACGGCATACAGATGTATACCACTCATCATTGTCCGTCTCTCACATGTGGCAGTGAGTACGACATGCACGGCCAGTCAGGCTCGGATTAAGGAGGCTCAAGGCTAATTTCAGTTTAGGGATCCTCCGCGACACTGGGCCGACTACCACGTAGAGATTATAGTGTTTGTCGGCTCCATCCTGTTTCTTAACCGTGCAGTTAATGCCAGATCACGGTGCGCGCAATAGACACTGGACGGAGAGTGAATTCGCCGCAATCGCAGTGGACTATTTACGGGCAGGATAAACAATTTTCAGTGATGACACGATTAAGAAAAGATTTTAATGCGGGATGTACATAAGTTTACGATCGTTAGTTATCTGTCACCGAAACGAAAAAATACCGGAATAATAATGACAGCGACAAAACAATAATATCAGATAATGATGACAATAAAACAACAATCTTCTTATAATAACCCTTACCATACCTTTGTGTATACATTTTATTATATTTATTATATAATATAATAAAATATATAATAAAAATTATGATAAAGATATAGTTATAATAATAATTAAGGGTCTAATCATTATAATTAAGAATAATTATAGTAATAATTAAGAATCATTATAATAATATTAAAAATATATTAAGAATAATTATATAAGAAGGATATGAAAAAAGATTTAATAAAAATGTGCGTTTTAAAATAGTACTTACTAATGAGACTGAAATATTTATAATACAAACAGATAAATTTATCTTTAGTCAGTACATGTCGCCTCATGATTTTTTCACTTATGCGGCGGCATGTCGGAATGCATTAGCAATGAATCACAATGTAATTCCGGTCTAGTTGTTTTTCTCTCTTTCTCTCTCTCTCTCTCTCTCTCTCTCTCTCTCTCTCTCTCTTTCTCTGGAAAACGCTGCGATGAGACGTTTCTCGCCGCGAATGTGTGACACAGGGTACTTGGGTCTCGTTTTTTTTGCTCGTTCTCATCTCATTATCTATGATTATACAACGGTTCGTAAAAGCAAAGATCGAGGCTGCAACGAATTTGAAAAATACAAATTCTCTGAAGCGACAAACTTTGAGAGACATACGATTTGTATCATGTGCATGCAAATGTTTATATTTTGATTGTTTTTCACTCGTTTGCAGAACAATCTGAATGTATCTACCTATCTATCTTTCGACGCATTCTAAACCACATCCGACGTCCGATGAGACGTTTTATGTAGTATAAGAACTTCTCAAGAACAAATTTCTGCGCTGAAGAATTACGCTCAAAATTCACCTGTATTTTAAGTATACAAAAAAGAATGTTCCGATTGTTTCGCAAACGAATAAACGATTTTGCACGTGCGCGAATTTATAAATTACAATGGACATAAGATATACACGCGATTAAATATTTATGCAAGTGCAAAGCCAAATGCAGAAAAGCCACTTAACTCGTTTAAAAATAATTAATAATT